ATTTCGTGACGATTCACCGTTCGAAACATTAGCTCGAAAAATACTCCAGCAACCTTACATCTAAATCAGAAGACAAACGTGTATTTGCAAACTTACGCTAAGAGCATTTAAATATTTCATGGTTTGTTATAACGAATAAAAAAGACTTGGAAAATTACAACATTACAATTTTTCAAACGACTCGTGTATATAATTACATTTTCTACATATTTCCTCTTGAAAGTCGCTTCGTACAGTATTCCTGACCACACGTGTTATTCAAGGGCCGGATGCGCTTTATCCGGTGAACCAATGAAAATAATGCAGTGATTATTACTGACTGACTGCATTCGATCCTCGTAACTTCGTTTCCCATTTTAATATCACGTACCTCTGCCATTCTAATAACCAAGTATACTGTATAAAGGTTTTTCAAATCAAACTACGTTTTATTATATTTCTATAATTAATGCAACCTTTTGGAAAATTTATTCTAGCCGGTTCAAGGATCATAGATTATTCCTCACAAAGATCTCAGGAGTGAATAAAAAATATCCAAGACACGATTGGACCACATTAATGGCTAAGGACATAACAACGCTACAAAAGTACTTCTGTACGCCTGTTTTCTAACACCGTTTCTCGTCTTTTTAATGACATCTCAAGAAGAGTTCCAGATATATAAAACAACCGTACAGTCACCAATTTCTTTCCAAGTTGGTCAGCGAACGAAACACGTGGATCCTCGGATAGAAGGTCAACGTTGGACAAGCACACAGTCTTTCTCGAGCATATTCTTGCTCCTTCTTCCATTGCCCGAAGAAATCTTTTGCTTACGTCACGGTATACATGTGCATATCATGTTAGCAGGTTCGTTCAACATGTTCTGACGTCAATCGGCGTGTATCCTGATCGTCTGTTACTAGAACGTAGTATTGCGATTCCATTTATTATCCAACATATAAAAAAAACAACGTATTTTCGCCAGACTATCAGAAACTTCAACGCTTCGTTACCTGTTATGTGCTATACCTTTTTTTAAACAAGGCATGAATTTCAGAGGCAATATCTTGAAAGAGATTTTAAAGGTTTTAAATTTTCCAATTCTAAAATGAACTCTTCGAATAAACTTTCGAGTAAACTTTCAAATGGAGTAATAAGAGCATCCTCTCTTAATTTGTGAATAGGCGTGTCGTTGAAGGTGAGGGTTAAAATAGGTCGACGGGGTCGTTAGAGTTTTATAGAAAAAAACCAGAGGTCAGAGGTTATCAAGGATGCGTCAAGGTCAATTTTGATTCGATTTTCTGTTTCTTTTCTTTTCGGCAGAATCTTACATAGAACGTCGTGTGTATTCGCTACGAAATTCTTCGTTAAAATTAAAGTTTCCAAGTCTTCAACCTCGGAGAAACGTTCCAGCCGATAAAAATGACACCGATCCGAACAGATTATTTTTTTTCCTTGGCATTTAAAGCTTTTAGAAGAATTAAATCGTGCTTTCATAAAATGTTTCTTATATATCCTTTGGTGCACAAAAGAAGATGCAGAAATGATTTTTACCGTCCATCGAGCGATCTGGCGCTCGCTTTTGTGCCGACTCGCAGGGAGAGCCCCGTCACTAACCTTTCGCAATTCTTTTGAACAGACGAATTTTATTCTTTATCCCTTTCATCTTTCGCAAATAAGCCGAATTCGTTGGCGTAACGCGCGTTCGCTTGATAACATCGTTGATTTGCATTAGGGAATATTGGAAAAGCGTTTTATCCAGCTGATTCCTTTGGCTAAAATGTCAAAGGTCAGTTTCCTTCATCGGTCACGCACAGGAACGCTCAATGGCAACGTACTGGGTGCTCCTATGAATTTTGATATAATTACATGTGCATTGTATTTTGAATATTTTGCTCATTAAAATACATATCTTGTTTTGCATGTTGTGATGTAATCCCATGTTCATTATTATTGTACCTAGACACGTTCTATTTCGTTGTTTAACCTCCCTCTTTTCTTTCTTCTTTTAATTATTTTTTGTTTCTCTATCAATGTACATTACTTACGGCTATTATCTAGTGTGGAGTACAATCACGATCAAGCTACAATTATCTATCATTTTTCAACGCCGGCCGATTAATTGTCATCGATAATCTCTCGAGCAGCGAGATCGTTATTTTTAATTTCCCCTACAAGCAATGTTCTCTGTTGTAACGAGACTTACGAGACAAGATCTATAAAAAAAAAAGTAATTCTCGGGAAAGAGGGTTTGATAGAGGTGTCGCTCAAGAATAAATAAGCCCCGTCTCATTTACCCTTTCGGTGAACAAAGAGCGGCTTTGGACTTTAACCATTTACAACGCGGAAGAGAAGAATCTTATCTCGGCAAATGATGTATTTTCTTTCTTTCTCTGGGCGTTGTACTATCGTCGTTTTTTAAAGGCAAATACCGGCAAGGAGTCGGCATGGTGCCCAACGATTCAAACCCCCGACAATACGCAATCCTGCCGGCGAATGTGTCGGTCTCTCTTTCATGGGAGCCTGTTGGTGTTATGGCGCATCTGGTCTCGCGTTTTCTTGCTCGCTCGGGGGTCGATCAATAGGCTAGGGAGGTGGCGGAGGCGGCTCTTCTCACAGTGATGGATCAAAAAATTTGCAATTCAAAGTCCTCTATCATCGAAGGGTGAGATATTGTTTGAAATCTTCGAGTCGAACCATTTCTTGCATTCCCTTTTTCATCACCAATCTCGAGGAAAGTGTTTCGTTGCCTTCCACCTCCTATGTAAATGCAAGTTCTTTTTTAGATATTTGCTATTAATTGTCACATGAAGTACGACTATAAATAAGCAGAATGGACGGAACATTAAATGAATAGTTATTTGAATAATTTTCATGACGGAGCATTGAGAGATTTTACAGAGGGTCTGGAGGAGCTGGCTGATATGCGCCTTTATTTTACATCACTGCGTTCGGATCACCAGGTCGTGGAGGCGGTAGGGGGCGCTCCGATTGGTCCAGCTCGATTTCGCGGGTTCGGGAAATTGCGCGTGCCATTGAGGCCCGCCAATCGGAGCGACCTCCTCTCCGTCAGTCAGTGGCCGCGCGTTGTCCACGTAACGTCGTCACATTTTTGCTTCGTGTCTATCCTTTACGATCCTTGGATAAATCCTAGATCGCCTTGATCTTTTCCAGTGTATGTACTACTTAAAGATCTTGCCGAAACGAATTTACTTACATTTCATACATTTCGTTTACTTCACTTCAATAAGACCATAAAACATACATCTTCTCTTTTACTTCTTGGAAGAGATAAGTGCTTTCTCGCACGCGTGTATCACGTATGTACTTGTCGTCCTTCTTGAGTTTTCTAGGCACTGTTTTCTGTCTGGAATGTAAGTTACGTGACAGTGAATTGCCTGGTCAAAAATGAATTCATTTCCAACGTTTTATAATATATAAAAAAGCTGAAAATGAATTTCGAGAAGAATTATAACGTTGAATAATATCGATAGAGACTCGTACCAACGTTGCTTTGATCATTAGCAACTTTATCGACTCAGTCGGTTGCTGCCGGTCTTCTGTCAATCGAGCGACATTCCCGCGATT